GAAAATTATCTTCGATAGAAGGTGTTCAAGCTGTTAAGATGATGCAGTGAGAAAATACCAGAGGCTAGAAAAGATAAGATTGGTGTTCATCTTCGGCGGGAATAGAATCGAAACACCCACGTCTTGACATTCACCGTCCGGCATCGTCGTAGTAAGAAGTAGTGGGGTTTGTCAGCCCGCCTTCAGTCACGCCTACACCTTACCGTGTTCAATTTTTGCAGCTGCTGTGGTAGGCAAGACAGTTGCAACGTCAAGGCTGGAAGGGGAAGGCAGGCAGGGATAAAATTGCTGCGTCGGATAATTGCTGTGCTGCATACGGCACGTTGCCAATTGCTATTCTGCGCCGTTAACGACATTTCGCTTCGCGATGTAGTATAGTTTCGTTATAGTATCAGGTGCGATGTATTACTCTCGTATATATTTGAAGTCATATATTAGAAAAATACTGTATCACTAATACATAATATGTTACATGTTTTAGGATTGAAAATTATCGCAATTATAAAAGATAAAAACCATGCAGTCATTCACAATAATAAACTAAGGCTAAAGACATAAAATATAAATCATGCATGTAATCAATTCGTTGTTGTAATAATAAATCAAAATAAATCTAAATATAAAGGCTTAAAAGCAAATAGAAAGATATAAAGTTAGAAATAAATGTATCAAATAACATAACATAATGTAAATATCATAAATCGTGGGATAAATTTCAATTTAACTGAAATCTTCTTAGTCACAAATTTACATAATTATCGGATTGTTTATACGTTAAAACTAATAATTTAAAGTGAAATAAATAACATAAAATAATATATAGAAAGGCTGTGAACTATAAACAAAGTCAAAAAATAAAAAATTATATAAATTAAAAAGAGTTCAATGCATTTCAAGTGATTTGGGGAGCACGCAGGGATCGTTGGGTTCATCTTTTTTCTTACTCAATTTATTTACTGAATTAAAAAATCGTAATTAAAATTGCCTTAGTACTCGGGAAATATTTTTTTTCACAACAGGAGAACAAACAACGATTGATTTTATCACTTTGTTGAATCATATCTGCAAATTTCTCTTTGTTTTTGTATAAAAATCATTTCTTTATTAAAATAAAATATTATTAAAATCATGACTTTTATTTGCATTGTACAGAGTGAACATTTTAATCAAGTCAAGTAAGTACAGTCAAGTATTTAAATATAAAAAGAGAGCAGTTGTCTTCTACTCAACGTAATGTAGTAGAAAAATTTTAATAGGATCACTTCGATGTTTTCACTAAAATTAGCTAAGAAGGTAAAAACGTAAGAAGAGAATTGCCAATGCAGAAGTTTAAACTGAATCTGTACATAAACATAACTAATAAAAATGTAGAATATGATACTATCTATAACTGTATACAGGGAGTCATTTTAATTTTACTAGGTAAATACCATGAAAAATATGAAAGATACGGAAAAATGTTTAAGACAAAAGTTGTATGATTTAGAGAGGGACATAAGGTAGGTACATCTTATTTTACTCGTTCATTTGGTCGTTGGAAATCGAATTTTGCTGCTGTGCAAACGTCAAGCGCTTCTTATTTATTTATATTCTTGTTTGTTATTAGTACCGTTTAACCTTGGATAGTCATTTGAAAGTTATACATAAAGATTACCTTCGATTTCTTAAATAGAAACTCTCATTTTTTATTACATAATCTTGTAGCTTAACTCGAGAGTTTTTTAAAACACTATAATAAAATATGTTTTTATTAAATACTTTTCGAGTTATAAGGCTTAAAAGTTACAATGCCATCGGTATTAGTATTACTTAAAGTTAAAGTCCGACCGACGGCTAAAATTTCTTGAATGTTGTTCAGAATCACGACTTAAATAACATTTGTCAAGATCAAAGCCATTAGAGGTTATTTCTCTTTCATTTTTGCATGTAAAAATTCATTTTTACGTAAAAGTGAAAATAAAAGTTACAACCTTCAATTTTTAGATTCTTGTATTGATTGATTTCGATTTAAACAAACTTTATATAAAATTGATAATCACAGATTCGTTAGAGCTGGATATATTTTTTAACTACGTTGTAAAAAATTGTTTATAAATGTTTTTCACAATTTTAACTAATTTTGAAGTATAACGTTATTCCTTCAATTTTTTAACAATGAAAAAAATTTGTTTAATTATGTTAACTTTAAACAAAAATATATATTAATTTAAAGTATACTAGACACGCATTGCAATTAAGGAAATTTTAAGCTAATACCAAATTAAGGTTACTCAATTAAGGTTAATTACTCTCAGACAGATTTTTCAAGATTTATAAGGTTTCGTGCATGGTTCTTGCACAATTGTTGCTTCTGAAAGCAACGTAAATCGTTCCTAAAGCCACAAAAACAAGAGCAGCAAAAACAGCATCTACTACGAAAATCGATGCCGAAAAATATAATTACCTACGAGCTAACTTAGTTTAGCCAGGTAAGGAAATTCTATTTAAAAGGACAGCTGTAATTTATTATCTTAAGAAGAAAGGTATCTGAGAGAAAATATTTTTAAGGTTTTTTTACTAGTCAAGTATCACACAGGTAGTAAGAATAATAATAAGCTTCGATCTCAGTATTTTGTGAATAAAACAAAAAATTAACCATACAATTTTTAGTAATTTAAACTTGCAACATAACAATTATTAAATATAATAAATTATTAAGTAAATGTAGCAATTAATCGCATATTTATGAAAATGGAAGAGACACAAAAACGACTATCCAATTTTTAATGGTTTCGGCAATACAATATAACTATTAAAATTTTTGCTTTCAAAAACGGACTCCTGCAGAGTCTTTGGAATGTATGTCTTAAAAGGGACATTAGTTCGTTTTTTTATGACATTTATATTTGAATACTTTCAAATATATGGATAATAAATTAAGTTGTCCTTAGAGATTATAAAATGAAGACGATCTTATTGTTACAAATAAAAGAATTTTTACATGTTATACTTTCAAGGATTTTTAACATCGATGCTTACAATTCATTCTTTATGATTTTAGAAAGAAATTGAAGAATATAATTCTTACTACGCAATTTGTTTAAAAGAATTTAAATAAAATAATTTTTTTAATAAAAATATATTTACAAGTATTTATAAACGCTAATTAGAAGTGATATTACTTTTATTAACACTGTCAATGCTACATATAGATGGATATATGACGAATAAATTTGATGAATACTTTTTTTAAATTAAGATAAATAATCCTACTTTCGGTTAAAAAAATTGTAAAACAAATGCAATATATTAAGAATTACTTGAAAAAAATTACAGATTATATTAAATTGCATTTAAAGTATAATACAAAAAAATTTAGAAACAGTTTAAATAAAAAATTATTTCAATAAAAAGTAATATTTTTTAAATTTGTGCTTTAACAAAAAAAATATACACATATATATATATAATGTATTATTATAAAATAATAATAAAAATCTCAATTTTTTACATAAATACTTTATGGATATTTATATAAAGTTACATCGAGATGCAGACATTAATTGTAAACAAAATATCCTGTGTGACGAGGGGGAAAAGTATATACGACGTTCTAGCATATCCGATAATAATCGATTTATAAACAATAACACTTAAAATAACTTTATCAATTTACATTTAAGAGAAGAAAACGGTTTTAAGGAGTGAAATCATCCCTCGTGTGTAAACCATTTTGGCCACAACTAATATTTTCTAAATTTCTAAATATCTAATATACATATATATTAGGATATTTTACACACACACACACACACACCCACCCACACACACACACACACACACACACACACACAGTTTTATTAAAACCAGAATTTAACTTCGCAAGGTTCCCTTGTAGACATATAGACCATTAATTTTGTTATATTATTATTAAGATATTCAAAATAATATATACATATATTCCAGCTTTAAAATAAAAAATATTCTGTAACTTTATATATGATTACTATAATCATTGCAATCGTCTATAATATGAAACTCTTTTATACTTATTTTGAAATATTCTCGTAAATAGTCTTCGTTATTCAGCGCAAGATTACGCTCGTATCATTAAGGGAAGATACATTTCTTTGACGAACTCTATATCCTCGCAAAGCGCTCGGAAAAGAGCGTCAGGATCGGACGATCTTGACAGATTGGTATATATTGGCAACGCCCCTCGTCTATAGTTGCTCATCTTGCCAGCGCACTGTTCTCAATGCGATCTACTTAACGATCGAGACGAGGCGATATTAACGAAGACAAAAAGCTCCGATCGGCGAAGAGGCTCGTAAACGGATTTTCTGCCGACTGCAACTTCTCGGAAATCACCTGGATGGCTTCCATCGGCGGATCGCATCTTACCGTCGGCGTTTCTTCTGCCGTCGGCATCCTTCCAGAATTTTTACCCCTGTCTCCGCGCCGACCGTTTTCTCCCTGTTAATATTTTTCCCAGTTCTATTCGCTGAACCGATAGAACGAAAGATCGCACGGTAACAACAAGATATCTCGTTGATGAAAAGTGAAACCGCTTCTGTATTGTTGAGAACGTGGGAATCGAGATTAAAATAAAAAGATATTCTTCGGTACATCTTTATGTTTTTATTAACATCACACTTTATCGTTTCACTACTTGTACAATTGTCATAATTTAACTATAGTTTATGTAACTTATTATTTATATTAGGTCATTTAAAAAGTATCCGCGGTTTTTTGTTCAATTTTTGAATGAAAAAACCGCGGATACTTTTTAAATGACCCAATATATAACTTAATCATTTTCAGTGTTAATTATTATATAAATATTTTTTGGTATCTAGAACTATAAACAATATATATATATATAAATCTTGCGCAACTACTAAAAAATGCAAGGCGTCAAATTAGTGAATTTAGAATTATCGGGAGTGACAAATTAATCTCACCGGTGAAGAGGCATGAGAGGAAGTGGGTGGTAGATGCAACCGCGTAGAGGGGCAATATCAGAAACCCGTGAAATTCTGATAATCCACGCCACGATGGCTTTCGCAGCCGATCGCTTGTATATCGTGATCCCCGTCGGACGTATTGTGCGGTCGCAAAAATGTATATTGCCTGTCGCGGCGAGAGATTGAAGCGTTTCTTGCAAGGAATCTAACGAAGCATAAGCGCGCCTTTTTGGTCTCGGTCTGTATCGCCGTTGTTCTTGCTGCGAAACTTTTCGCCACCCAACGGTCCCACGCTAACATTGTTTCTTCTGCGATAATGTTGATCGAATCTTTTTCTCTTCTGTAGAAAAAATTTATTTTTCAAAGGTGAAGAAATGGAAAATTTTGTAAATTTTCAATATGTATGAAAAACGAAAAATTGGTGGAAGGCAAAATGTATTGAAAAGTTTTAAATATAATTATAATATTTGTGATGCGTCAATAAGAAAAAAGAATCATCGTTGTAAATTTTAGGGAAAAACGGACAAATGAAAAAAAATTGTTTCAGGTACGATAGCAAAATTTTTTTACGTTTCCGTTTTATTACGTCGTGCAAAGTTGTCACTTCTGAACAGAAGTTGTTCTTTTTTTATACCAATAGCGGTGAGTCTGCCCAACAGTACTCGACAATGAGAATTATGAATGTAATGATATATTTATGACTACATGTTTATGATTTGACGATTTCGAGGTCGACATCATTGGCTACATGTGTCATTGACTAGAAACGCTACCCCGCAGACTGCGCTGAAAAGAAAACGAAGAATAGTAGAAGTGCCTGTCACATAGAGACATCATGGGAAACTTTTGGTCGTATTTCTTTTTTTTTTATTTTTTTTCTTTCTAAGGAGAAGTTTAAATGTATTATTGCATTTAAATTTTTCCTAATGAAAAGAATTTTTTTGTTAAGGGGATGGAAATGCCTACGCATATCTGCTGCCCTTTCGAAAAGGAGCGGGTTATGTGGAGTGAGCACCCACTAAAACTTCCTCCAATGTCAACTATTTTATCGAATTGTCCACGAGAACGCATACAACAGGATCACCTCAGGCCTGTTGATTGCAGTCGACCGATACCCTAAACTCCTACAGCCCGTAGTCCACGATAGGCTAGTATTTACTTGTAGTACCTTACCCCTTCTCAGTGTAATGAGGAGATAGAGTTGGGTTATGTACTTTTAAGCTGCTGAAAATGAATATAAAGTTAAAAAAGTTTTATAATACAGATTTTAAAAAATCAAAGACATTATTTTTAAAAAGCTCTATATTTTTAAATAATTTACAATTTTCTTCTTTTTTATTTTATGGAATAAAAAAAGAATTCAGATATTGAGAAACAGAAATCTTATAAATCGTATTTTCAATAAATTTTATTATTTTAATATATTAATTACAATAAAATTATAGATAAATAATAAAAGAGATTTCATATCATCACATTTATTTCTATATATTGTAAAAAATATTTAAACTTTTTTTATAGTTATATATTATCAAGTCATGTAATATAAAATGTCGGGGGGGGCTTTTTTATTAATCGTTAGTTAAACATACTTAAAGAATACAACATCTGACTATCAACTTTTTGACTATCTTCCACTCTAACTTTTATATTATCCTTAGTATTTTCCTACTATTGTTTTTTAAAAGTTTGAATTACTATAATTTCTATCGAAAATTTTCATCATGGTGTCGAGCAATTAAGAACAATTTTTTTGTACTAGTTTAAACTGAGCCATAATGCGACTATTGTTCCTCGTAATATCAACAGATGATACAGAGATGATACGATTAATAAATGGATCATTCAGAGATTTCAAAAAATTTCGTTTCGGAGATGAGAAAATCTAAAGAATCGGTCTCACGGAAAATCAATTCTTGTGGATAATGACTACCTTCTAGCATTAGTCGAGGATGATTTTTATTTTTTCCTAAAAAATCTGACATTTTATTTTATACCTATCACAAAATACATGCTATATACTTGTTGAGAAACAAAAAGTTTATCGTTATATTGTGTAAGCGAAAAAGAATCATATGGTTAAAGTAATGCCTAATAATTTTTTTCGGTAAAAACCATTAAGATTCGCTTTGATCAAATATGGCTCTCTTTTTCGCATATCTACTTGTGTTATTATACTTAAATTGATTTTTGAATTTATTATTATTTATACAATTAATTCATTTGTTTTCAAAATATTCTATTGAGCTGTTACTAATATCAATTAACATCCTTTGACGAACATTTGATAAATATAATAATTAGAGGCGAGAAACCAATTAACAATTAACCGGATATAATTTGCAACGCGGTGGCTTACTAGCATACGTCCATCATTCGCATGTAAAAGTCATGCGTTATATCGTGGCTGACTTTATACGTGCCTTTCCATCGATTAGACGTCATTACAGCGAATAACAACGTAATTAAGCGTTTTTGCGTCATATTGTTGCATTTTCGTACGTCTATGTCTCGTAATATGATCTTCGCAGTATTACAGCTATATACATAAAGGCACATATGATTTAACGCAATAATAATTATTATATACAATATATCTATATATATATCTATACTTCCTTGTGCGTTTACACATTACAAGAGACGGCAAAGTTCCTTGAACAGGTTTATGATTAACACTGTCATTCGACAAGTTATAATCAATGAGTTACAATTAATGAGAATCGTACGTCTTTCTTCTTTTTGATTTAAGAAATTTTTTTTCTCTTAAAGATTATGGATTTTTCTCATGAAGAATTAGAATTGTTTTTATTGAAAGAAATGTGTCAAATGATCGAGAATAAGCGCGCCGTTCGATGAAGCAAAGACATGTCGCGTTGTTTGAACAGTTTGAATCTTCGATCACCGTTTCTCACTACTTCGCGGTCACTATTCTATTTTATCTTGACCTCGTTTAGTCACGCATCTCTTTTTCTATCGCGATAGCCTTGCATTTATATCGAATACTTTTTTGTCAGGCTGTCAACGATAATGCTCTTTGATCTCTTCCTGACCCAAAACTTTTTGATAAAATATTGCTTTAAATAGCAACCAAATAAAAGTAGATATAAATCAATATAATATAAAGTAATTAAAAAATAGTCGTCAACTGTCATCAAGTGCAGATTCTTTACGCCTCCTTTCAAATGCGGCTTTTCTGAAGCGACAACGAGAAGATACTAGTGTTCTGTATAAATCAGGTAAAGAAATTGATTATTTGAACGGATGTAATTTCGAGAGAAAATCAATTAGAAATCAATTAGAAATGGATTATAGAATTATCGTGTGGTAAGGCTGAAAGTCTACACTACAGCTAAAAGTTCTCTGCAACTATTTCTTGCTTCGACACGGTTTAGATTTTCATCTATAAAAATCCGCCTTGTTCAAAGACTGTATATATAATTATTAATTACATACAAGTCCGTCTCTTATCGAGGAATCGAATCGAGGAAAGGCCCGGTCGCAATGCGAAAGCTTGTCGATCCTTGAGTTCCGCGGCGGTAGGTCTTAATATGAGCTCTCTTTCCTCTCGTGCTCTCGCACGAGCGAGACTGTTGCCATAATGCCGCATCGGAGTTCCTCGACTCAAACATCAGCAGCCTTGTACACATAATAACCAAGTGGTAATATCGTTTCTGCGGCGAGCAATCCTCTTACTTGGCTGCCAGTGATCGATTCGAGCAAGCGGCGAAAGTGTTCAACAATTTTACAAGATGATGCACTTCATGTTGATTTTACATTTTAATTTTGCATCTTTGTCGATAAGTGATGGGATCTATGTAAGATTTATTTAAATAAAAATATCTCTTTGAGTAAATTGATTTATTTGCGAAGGAATTTTTCTAGCTTTATACAAATCTGTGTTGATTGAGATTCTTACAATTAGTTTATTTCACTAACAATAAATATTCTGTCAATAATAAAAGAGAGAACTAAAACTTCATGCCGTCATAAATTCTATATATTTTACTAGACTGCTAACTCTTTGTACACAAATTTATGTAAAATAAGTCGGAATGTATAATGGTATTAGTGGTTCTGCACACGCATAGGCATAATGAATCCTGAAGAAATGCAGTATGGACCAATAGACATGCAGTATGGACCAATAGACAGGCAGATATGCATCATAAGGAATTTTTTCGGTGCATGTATGTATAAGAATTGAATTCACTTTTACCAAAAAGGTAGCAGTTTGACAGTATATATAAAAGTTTGAATGTCATACATTAACTTAACTTTGTTCTTAAACATGTTAACTCTGATAGATAAATGTTAACATATGATAGTAAAAGGGAATGTATCGATTCGCGATTCGGCGGATCAAAACTATCACTATCAAATTTACGCCATACAGCGTATTATTGCACGGTATTTAATATGAACCATAGGTAGCTCATAATTTCGCGTGCATGCGAGAACGGATCGATCGCAATCGAGTGCTCCCGGGCACATTGATGACTTTTACTTTTTTTCAAGAAATCACGTGGCACAGAAATACCATCACTGTGTGAAAGTAAGGCAAGTCGATGTGAGGATTAAAATTTAAAAAATTCAGAAAAAAATTATATTTTTAATTCGGGATAATTAAGCTTTGGAAATTTTCTGTTCCTTGCTAGAATTTCTCGCAGATTTATACCCATTTGTTCTCCACCCGATTTTGCAAAATACAATACTGACATTGCTGAGAGAGAAATATTTGGTATCAGTGACTATAAATGGTATGATAAAATATTATAATTATAATTATATATTATTATTATTAAAAATAGAATTATTAATAATTATTATTATTAATCGTTGGGAGATACCACTGTTTTGTCACGCTGAATATTGTGAAAAATATGGCATAAAAATGAATACATAACAATTTTTTTCGGAACGCTGAACAGAAGGCTCAAGGAATATAACGGAATATAAAGGAATATAACGGTGTCAAGCAAATATGTATTTTCATTAATAAAAACGTATTATATTGAAAAATGAAAAAAAAATCGAGTATGAGGTACACTAAAGGTTAGTATTCATAATCGGTTCTTATATTTAAGATCATCTTAAGTTACAGTCTTAAATTGTTATAAACTAATCACAGAGCCATATTAGCTTCTTAAGAATTTTTTAAAACTTAAGACGGTTTTGAAATAAGAGAGGGAGAGGGAAAGGGAGAGGGAGAGAAAGAGAGAGGGGAGGGGAGAGGGGGGAGTATGAATACTGACTTTAAGAGTGGCACCGAAAGACTAACATGATAACAGTAATAACCATAAAACTAACAAAAATTATATAGTAATATAATATACTATA